GAAGTCGTGAAGTGGTAATTTGCGGCTGTGGGTTGGCCGAAGTTGTGAAGTGGTAATTTGCGGCTGTAGGTAGGCCAGAGTTATGAAGTGATAATTTGCGGCTATAGGTAGGGCAAAGTTGTGAAGTGGTGATTTGCGGCTGCAGGTAGGCCGAATTTGGGAAGTGGTAATTTGCGGCTGTAGGTTGTCCGAAGCACACTCTGTAAGAGACTGTGCAAACCAAAGGAAATTCAGCATGGCTGAGTACCAAATGTTTTAAAGTTGGAAGGATAGAATTTGATAGTGGGCGATAGTGGAGAAGACAGTTGGATTGTTAATGTGGTACAAACCATTTGAAAAGTTGAACAGTCATGCACCAGGAATATCTTGGGTAGTCTGTCTGTGTTTCATCCCTTAGCTGTAAACACACGCAAAGTAAAGTGTGGTTAGGAGTGAGAAACATCAGTACAGCTCCCTCACAAGCAAGCTAATGATGGGTTATGTTTCCATAAACGTTCAAAATATAACTCTGTGACTAAAACATACACAAACTCAGCTACACATCGTATTACTCAACGAAATACCAAAAAATTAAAAACCTGGAAATGTTGTTCGGCGGAGCAAAAGCACTCATCCTGACAGCTATCCTCCAGTCCTGTTAAGGCATCGTTGAATCGACGTAACTGATCGACCACTTCCGTAGGAATCGATTCGCCCATCACCTGTAATTTAGCAATCTCTCGCATCATCATCAACATCGTCGTCATCGTAATTATCGTTATCATCATCGTTATCATCATCATCATAATCTCACAGAAAATCTACGAAGCGATAAACAAAATCTGAGATTCGGCATGATTCACCGAGGGTCATACACAGTTGATCACGAAAGCGCTTGGCTGGCTCACTTACGAGTACTACTAACTAATGCGCATCGATCACCGGTCATCAGCAAGGCGAAGAATATATATGAAATGATAATTTAGCCAAGATTAAGGCTGCTGCAACATTTATTTCCTGTACAATCACCTCTGCTTCCTTTCTTCACATCCTCCTTCGAAAATCCACATATTCGTTTAAACGTGGCGGGATGGGGGGCACTGTACTGATGATTCCCACCGACTCTGCCGTCTGTGTTTACACTTCGTTAAAATGA